CACACAACAGTAGCATGTTAAAAATGTCAGGCTTTTAGATTAAGAAAATAATCCTATTTACCACATTTTTGTTGAAAGCATATTAGTCTAAGAGTAGTATATCTTCCTCTACTTTAAAATAAATGAATAAGGGATTGAAAATAAAAAGAATAACAATTAAATCTCAATTCAACTGAAAAAGTACATGGGCATTTCTACTTATGTTACACGCATTTCTCATTGTAGGGGATTGAAAAAGAGAATAACAATCAGAGACTGGAGTTCTAGAAACCCCATAATTGCAATCCATGACCTTGCCTCGCATTCACCTTTACTTTATGCACAATCAATAGCATAGCACTTACTCAAGTAGTTATTATATACAAATTACAAAGGAACGAATAATAAAAAAGGTTGGATGATATCCTTATTTCTTATTTATCTAAGGATCATTAGAAACTCCCACTGAGGATCATCACCAAGCATTCAAGTCAAGGAAAAAAAATCTTCGGAGCACAATAATAGAGTACTACAAGAAGGAAGGCATGGAAGGAGATGAAAATAAGAAGCTTACTTGGCAAGGACAGGCAATTGGGAGTGGATCTGGTAATGAGAAGTGCAAATTTAGTAGACCACAGTGAAGATCGAGAGGCGATAGGGAGAAAAAACACTTTAGAGTAGGGACACAGTGGATACAAGAAAGGACGGCAAAGAGTTGGAGATCAACCGAAGGTTATTTGGTGCTTTAACATTGTGGAGATTGGTTGCTGGACAGCGTCACCTATGACTAATAGAAGGTGAAGCAGATCTGAGGTAGAGCTTTATGTGTGTGTGTTTTGAAGCAAATCGAGAGGTCATGGGAGAATAAAGAAGCAACATACACAGGAAGCTTAAAGGCAGAGCTCGTAGGTAGATAGAGGACAAGAGAAAGAAAGCATAAAAATTTAAAATGCATTTAATGCTTTCAATAGGCAACAACATTAACTCTAAGGAAAAGCTAGGTTTGTGGGCTTTTTGATTAACACGCGTTTACATGCTAACCATGGTTGAAAATTTATGCTAATCCAAACAAGATTTTTTTAACATTTTGCATCCTAACCTAGTTTGACCCATTCTAATTGAGATTAGAATGTAATCCAAACATGCTATTAGATACAGAACGCAGAGAAGTCGATGGAGAGAAGAGAGAAAAATTTTCCAATGAGTTACGTTTTAGCTAATGGGTAATTTCATAAGGGCTATAACAACAACAACAACAACAACAACAAAAAACTCCTCTCTCTCTATCTCTGTTCTTTTAGGATTTAAACCTAAATTTAGAAAGTTAAACACCAAGATAGTTTTTACGAAGCCACCTAATCCTTCTTATTATATCATCCCAAAATTAATAAAAAATATATTTAAATACCTCAGAAATTTTAATTTAATTATCCATTATTATATTATATTATATTACTTATTATTATTATTATTATTATTATAAAAAAAATTAGGTCATCACATTCTTTCCCCCTTAAAAAAATTGATTCTTCAAATTTAAAAACATGCTTTCCTTAGTTTTTAAGTAACTAGGAACATTTGGCACGCATCTTACTTTCAACTTCATGTAACTGTTGAAAATTGTGCCCTAGGGCCAATCATTGTACTATGTAGAGCCGGTAATTCAGGCGGGCCGGGCTTATTCGAGTCGGACTTATTTGGATCGAGCTTAAAGCATCCTACCCCTTTTGAAAAGCCCATATAGCCAAGCCCAACCCTAACACCTTCGGGCTTCGGGCTTATTCGGGCTGGCCCGAATACCCGAAACTTTTTAAAAATATTTTTTCTTTATTTTTGAACAATTTTAATTTTTAAATAATTCTATTAAGTGTAAAATATTATCTTAATTTTAAAAGAATAAAATAAAAAATAACTTATTAACTTTGTATTTAAGTATCTTTGTTATTATTTTGTTGTATTATGTATAATTTATTCATGAATGTTTCCTTTACTTGTAAATTAATGTCTTAGTTATTTAAATATTACTCTTATCATAGTCATATATAAATATTTTATATATTTTAATTAAATTATATTATTTTAATTATGATTTAGCTTTTCTCAATTCAATTACAGTTAGACTACTAACTTAAAATTATTATCCCGATTAGTTTAAAGTTTTTAATAACTTTTAGGTAAATTGTACTTTTTATTTTTATGAATATAAAAAAATTGCCATCATTATATTATATAAAAAATTATTTAATTATGAGTAAAATTATTATTTTTGAAATCATTTTCTTTAACTTTTTATATTATTTAACTCTTACATAAAAGGGATTCTTACTCTAGTTTACTCTTAATTTTTAACCAAATCTAGCATGGACAATAACCAAGTAATTATTCAAGAATATTATTCTATTTATTATGTTTATCTACTAGTAGAGTCAGGAATTCATACATGCCTAAATTTTATTTTTAAAATTAGTTTTAATTTTTTTTTACTTTAAAATTAATTATCTTAATTTATAAAAAATATAAAATTATTTTTTATATGCAAATGATTTATAGGACTCAAAGTTTTTTTAACAAAAATTAGGTCTTAAAATATTAAAATCAATATTAAAATATATTTTAAATATTATTTTGAGATATTTTATTGATTAAAAATAATAAAAAATATGAAATATAACTATTCTTAATTTTTTTAAAAATAACTACATTAAAACACTTTATATATAGTATTTTGGTATAAAATGATATAAAACTTGAAAAATTAATTAATATTTATCATATTTTATATATTTTTTAAAAAGTTATTTTTTTTATTTGGGTATTCGGGCCAAGCCCGAACCCGATCGAGCTTGGCCCGAATTTCCTCAGGCCTATTCGGGTGGCCAGAATAGGCACTAACAATAAAAAAATAATATTTTTTCGGGCTTGGCCCTAAATTTTTCGAGCGGGTTCGGGTTGGCCCGTCGGGCTCGGCCCAAATTACTGGCTTTAGTACTATGCACATTGTTATTTAATGAATTTCTCTTTTGTTATCATATCAATTATATGTTCACTATAATAACTGTATCCTTGAACAAACTATAGTAATTGTTCTAAATATCCCTGATCAGTCATCTATAAGGGATCATAGATGAAACAAGACTAGTATGACTTTAATTAATTATAGAAATATAAATCAAAATCATAGGCATTTGAAAGAGTATAAGGTATTAGACTAACCCATTATGAGAAAGTTACATAATACAAGTCATAAACTTATCTCATATGTAACTATATCACTAAGCCCTTGAACCCGAGATCATCATGAATTTCTACATGATGACCATTATATTGAACTTTGACCTAGTCAAAAGTCACCTTTGATTGGGTGATCATAAAGGCTATGATTGAGTTTAGTAATATTCATGTAGAGGAATATGAGTGGTCAAGATAAAATTTGTCCCTCATGTTAATTGAGAGATATTACTGGGCCCCTTAATGAGAAAAACTGAGAAAATGTATAGCCATACTACAATGAAAAATATTTTTCCATTGTTATGTCAGTCCACTCAGAGATCAAGAAAGTATTGGTCAAGTAAAGGAAAATGACAATTTCATGTCTCATACTTGACCGAAATATCACGTGACAAAAGGGATGTGATACGATTATATGATAGGTTGCATCAGATCATCAATTTCTAAATGAATTGGGTAGTTACAATGTCTTGCTAGAGGCCACTTGTGACTTGTGGGCTAATAGTATAATTAGCCTACTACCAACTTCATATGGGCCTACAAAGTCACACACAAGAACAGCCTAACTCGAGCTATAATGTCAAAGTTTAATAAATCTGGAATATGTTTAGATTCAATGAATGTAATATAGGATGAATAATATATATATATATATATTTTGAATATTTATATGATAAATATTTATATTTATATGAAATATAAAATTCAAAATATAATTATAGATATGTGAAATATATATATATATATATATATTCATATGTGTGTGTGTGTCTGATATGTATATGTATCTGTATATGATATATAAAATTAATATAATATATATATAATATAGTATGTATATATGATATTATATTATATTGTATTGTATTATTTTTAAATTTAATTTTATATGATAAATTAAATTTAATAACTAACATAATATGAAAGAATATCATATCAGTTTTGTAGTTTAAATTTATAAGATAAATTTAATTTAAATTTCAGTTGGCTCTTCAAGAGGAAGGCAAAAACCTTAATCTGTATATAATAGATACAAGGGGACATGCAAAGAAAGAAAGAGTTAGAAAAGTTCTAATGGCCAAACACTATGAGAGCCACAAAACACCCATAGAGAAAGGAAAATCAACGTTCAAAGAAGAATGAATATTGGGAGTACAGCATGCTATTTGAGTTAAGAGCTATTTTTATGGATACTAATAGAGGGAGTAGATCTACGTTGTCGGCTCCTAAGATCTAAACTCTTGAAGAAAACGCATGTGAAGCATGAAAAGAAAAGGTAATTTTTCTTTTAACCTTGACTTAAATGATTTTGTTTGGTCCACATTGTAATAACCCAAAAATTTTAAATAAAAAAAATTAAAATATATAATAATGTTTTTTAATTGTATTTGAATTAATTTTTAAAAATATTTTGTTAAGAAGGATTCTTGCTCTAGTGGGAGTTGTACTGATAAGTTAAGTGCATCAGATCATGTATTTGATTCTTGCTGGGGCAAAAAGAGAGAGATTTTTATTTTTTTGTTCAGTTTTGCGAAATTACCATTTTGGCCTCAATACCATCAGAATATACTTGTCTTCTCTGCTTCTAGTAAATTCGGGCGAGGACTATTAGCTGAGAGAGGGAGAGGTGTCTCAGATCCAGAACCTTTATTCTGTCTCCTCCTCATTTCTTCTCTACCGTCGATTCATCACCGGTGGCGAAGTGCTAGAGTTCCGACGACGTTGCCATGGAGACCGCGTCGCACTTCTCTTCCTCATTTCTGCACTGATTTCCTTTCCTTTTTCATCTGCAGTGTCGCCTTCCTCCTTCATTCAACTAGCAGCCATTGATGACTCTGTTCTCCCATCATTCTCGTCGAAGTCATGCTCGCGCGACCTTCCTCTTCTCCTCTATTCGAGTATCGACTTGGATGTCTCAGAGATCTCCTTCCCTTATTCTTCACCGTGAACTTCTCCTCCTCTTCTCCCTCTGTGTGAGCTGCTGTGACTTAGAGCATTAGGTCCTTCTTTCCCTCCTTCCATTTTCGGCATCATCGGGTTCTTCTTTATGTGCTTTGTTGTGGCTGATTTGCTATCAGAAATTTTGAATTTTTCCTTTTCCTTGTCTGATTCGTGCGTCTTTTTTTTTTATGATAGAGATTGTGATTTTTCCTTGTTGAGTTGCTGCTGCTATCCGTGACTGTATGTGCGTATATATGGAAAGGAAAGCTTGATTTGAGTTAAAATTTGAGTTTAAGAGCATGATTTTCATTAGATAATTTCACTTTTATGTTGCTGTTGTAGAGGATGAATTTATCTATTATGGCCAATTGATTTCTATTGAAGGAATAAGAAGATTAGGTAACATGGAAATTAAAGTTTAAAAAAAATTGATGATAAAAAAAAATTGAAGAAGGTGAAGCTTGGTACTACAGTTGAATATTAATGTTTACCAGGTGTTTGATAAAATTTCTATTAGAAGAGTTTTGATTGATTTTTCTGTATGTATGTGTAATCTTGTTAATTTTACAAGAAGCATGCTTGGGCTTGAGCAATATTAATTGGTTATTCTAAATTGAGTTTTGTGAAGGAATCTATCTTAGGAGTTTATAAGATCTTGTTTGAGTTCTGAATTGTGGGGAGTTATATACCTTATAATTCATAAGATATATTATCAGTTTAGAAGTTATACTTGAATATTTGAAATTTTTTAGGATAAGAGAATTAAAGGTTATAATTTTTTTTGAATGATTTGGAATGTTGTATGGTGGGCGTTTAACAAAAAGCTTAAGGAGAGAGTATATTTTAACTGACTAACAAACTATGGTTAAATGTTATGGATAAACCTTTATGTGTAAACTGTGTGACTAAAATTTCAAAATTATTCTTATTAATTTTGGCTGAGTGGATTCTCTTGGAAAGGGATCTTGTTGATTCTAAAATAAAGTTCATTAAGATACTATTATATTTTATAGGATATTTGGAAGAAGGGAAATTTGCTTGAGATGGTATAAGGTGAATTTTGAATCTTGCAAATGCTTCAGGTAAGTGGATAGCGTCCTAACTGATATTTCATCAAAATCTCTTTTATTCAAATATTATATTTTTATGCAAATTCTTTTTACGCCAACAATATGATTATGAGATATTTTGTTGATTAAATTATACTATTTCGTGAAATTATTTTATTAGAATTGATCATTTTAGTTAATCAGTAAATACAAGTTTGAATTCTAATTGTGGGATTTCAATTTAAAAATTATTGAATTGTTACGGAAAAATGATTCATGCAAGTTCGACATTGAAAAGAAAACTTTGATTGAATGGTGATCAATTTCTCGCATGTTTGAAAATGGTTTTAAAAAAAGGGAACTTTATATAGAACACTGGTTGCTAACGGCAGTTCTGTTAGCCCTTAGCGCGCCATGGTACACCTAGCTATAATGGTGTGTATAGGAGGTGCTAGCCCCATGCGATGGCCAACACATGTGGAACAGAGGGATGGTTATTCGTGAGCATCGTACTCACGTTTGTTTTGTGGCCTCAATTGCGTTTGGTTACATACCCTCATAGATTGTGTGTCCACATTTGTTTCGTGGTGAGAGCTATGTTTGGTTACTTACCCTCGTGGACTGTGTGTCCACATTTATTTTTGTGGTGAGAGCCGTGTTTGGTTATTTACCTTCATGGACTGTGTGTTCACGTTTGTTAATTGTTCTGATAAGTCCCTATTATATGAATTTGATTATTTGATAATTTTACATCCCATTGATTTTAAATAGTAAATTATTTATAATTATTGATTTTGTTTATTTGCTTCTTTGTAATCAAGTGATAATATTATTTATTATGAGATTTTAATGGTTCGAGATTTTATTTAAAATTTTATAGAATCGTTTTATTTTGAAGTTTACTAAATTTTTATAAAGATTGCTACCTTTTTAACTAACATAATTGTTTAAATCTTTTGTTATATTCAATTATTTATTGTTGGGATGTTATTCACTGAAAAATTATTTTTGGTCTCAGATATCCTAGTTGACACCAATTCTCCGGTTGATCCATGAGAACTCATAAATGTGCTAGGTAAAGAACTGATAGAAATTTCCCTTTTTATGTAACTATCAATGCTTATGTATGTTATTTTAGAGAGGTGTGGTTAGGTGCTCTACATATGCTATGTCTAGGGCTTCTATTTTGGTATATATGCTGTCTATTCATTGGAAGAGCTAAGCTCTTGACTGACATGATATTCTGTAAATATTTTTATATTGTAGAGTTTTGGAAGATCCTATTTACAGACGAGGTTTTGTCAAAATTTTTACAATTTTTTTAACTTTATTATAATAACCAATACCAAAAAAATGTTAAAATATTAATATAAATTTTATTACATTTTAGAAATGAAATGAGTTTAAGATTAGAGGCTTATGGAGATGTGTTATATGGTTTACATCCCGTGTCGATTACCCTTCATTTTTTTTTGGGTGTGACACATATCATGATAGATTTAAAATTTTTAATCTTTCATTGTGTCTTCCTATCCAAAAGTAACATCTTCTTGAAAATGATTGCGCCACAACACATTTATTGACTCGATCTTTTTTTTTTCATCAAGCAAAACATAAGATTAAACACATGCTTGGAAGTCGCTAAGATAGTAAGCAACCTCTGAACATGCTTTATGCTCAATCCAAATCTACTCAATTTCAACACACATACAAGGACCCCAAATTCAATCTAACTTCTACATTAATTAAAATTAGGACTTCTAAAGTTTGCCCAACCATCCATTGAATCTACTTTTGGCCTAGAGAAATGGATCGACAATGAGGAATTAGAAGAACTCATGTTGGTGAAGAGAAAGGAGAAAATAAGATAAGCACGATGCTCTGTTTCACGCACGGGGATGGGAGGAAAACAAATCTGAACTAAGAATATTTTGAGAAAATTACAAGAAAGGCACTAGAAAACTTACAATAAAGGGCATAAGAAAAAATTACAAGAAAAGGCACAAAATTTTCTTGTAATTCAAAACATGCAAGACCAAACTTTTTCCCAACAAAATTCAAACTCCAAACCTTCAAGAAACTTAGTAATATAAGTTCCATTTAAACTACCACTCTCTACTTGCTATAGAACTAATTTAAATAAAATACCAATTGGAAGAAAAATTAATTTAATTTAATTTAAAATTTTGGGTTATTACATTAACCATCAACCAAGTGAACAAATCAACTAAATGGTGACCAAACACTTAAATACATTAAGAAAAGAGAAAAATAAACACTTATATATATATATATATATATATATATAATATCAAACACAAAAATAAAGGAGAAAATTAATGTTAATCCATATAAAAGCTCAAAATAATTATAGGGCAAAAAGTTTAGCTACTCATGATCATTAAGAAGCTACAAATACACAAAATATTGACAACTATTTTGGATTACAAGAAGAAAAAATGGAGAAGAAATGATGGAGCCAAAGAAATGAAGTTTTGAACATCTTCAAAGCTTCAACACTTGATCCTAAGTTATCCAAAGCCCAAACCCAAGTCCAACCAAGCTCCCAAAGTGTTGTCAAGTTTGTAGAATGAGTTTTGAGTTGAGCAAGGCCACATATATGTTTAGTGCCCACTCATTTTTTGCAAAATAAAAAGGCAATATTTAACTGATGATAGCCTTGAAAGTCACAAAGTGCGACTTTTGGCCAATTTTTCACACTTCTCTCAATTGACAAAACTAATAATCTTTGCACATAATTTTTTCATCTAAAAGCCTTCCAAAGCATCATTAAGGGTTTAGAAATGTTTTCATCAAACCCAAAACTAATAAAATAAAGCTAAGTGTGCAAGCCAATATAACATATACTTTTTTTTTTAATTTGGATAATCAAAATATATACAATTGTACCAAGATATATTAAAATTTAAGGAAAATATGCTAAGATGAAGTGAAATTCTAGAGATTGACATAGTGCCCAATGAAAATCACATAATCTCATAGATCATTTCCATCCTACATGTTAACTTAGATGGTCGCCTTTATTTTATGGATTATTTTAATAACATTGTGAGAATTGTGCCACATGAAACTTCATCTTCTCTCTCTATTTTTACAAATACAAAATCTCTTCTCTCTCACCTACTTAAAAAAAACATGGTCTTTCTCTCTCATATTTGTAAAAACAATGGAGAGACAAGATGAAAATTGGCACAATTCTCACTATATTATTAATATAATATATTTCATAAAAGTAAGTTGTACTCCTCCACTCCTATCATTTCCAACATATTTTGTTGAAATTAAATAAAATTTTAAATATTTTTTAACTTGGTCTAAAGGAGCCAGTGTCGAGCAGGTTAAAGGAGGAGATCAGGCTCAGTTCGTACAGCGAGTAGCTCAACAGTCAGATCGTGATCCTTAGCTTGACGGTACTATTGTTGGTGGAGCTAGCAATGGGGAAGGATGTGATCGACTGCCACATGCTAACAACTGTGCTGATTCAGATCAACTACCACAAGCATTTTACATAATTGCTTGAGTTTCTCATTTTGTTAGGATGTTACTAAGGAAATGTTTTGGTCTCAAATTCTTTAACTGATGCTAAACCTCCTACCGACCAGTGTGGGGCTTATGATTGAGTTCGGTGGATATTTATTTTGGAAACACCTTCATTTTGATGTAATTTTTGAAACCTATGCATTGTGTTTTGGAAATACTGTTTAGGGTGCTCCACATTAACTTTAGTTAGGGTCCTGATCTCTTATTATGTTGTTTGTCTACTATTGAAAAGTGAAACTCCATATTCTAATAGTTGTTTTGTAAAATATCCATTATAGAGATTTCGGGAAGTTCTATTTATAAGGGAGGTGCTGCCAAAATTTCTATAAAAAGTTTGATATTTTTGGTTTATGCAAAAAAGTAGTGTAAGTATGTATAATAATGTTATTAATATGTC